GACAGCTGATCGCTTTCACTCCAAAATGGCGGAATCCAGGGCTGTTGCTGGGTGCTGCTGTTGCAATGGAGCATTCTATTGAGTGTCGCCTCTTGGTCATTCTAAGCTCTTTGCATATAGAAAACAGTATGTGTGTAATATTTGTTTTTGTTTTTCAAATAAAAAGTCTTAAAATGTAAACAACTTACAAAAAACATTCCATAATGTAAATAAGTTGTCATTTAATAAGAATATGTCAATAACTCGGACCCGGAAGCCGCTTCCCGTGACGTCACACTTAACAAACGTACCAATCAAATTTCATTGTGTGTCGTGCCATGTTTGTGGGTGTGAAAATATCCTCAGAATAACAGCCTGTCACACAGCAGCACATCATTCATTCACAAACGTCTCTAAGAATTTACAACAACGACACATCAATATTCTTAATGATCTGACAGCAAAACATATAGGAAATCAATAGGACATGTATATAGACTTTGTTCTGAGATTCATTGATTATTTCAGTGAGCCGTTTCCACAGTAAGATTAGGCAGATTGAGATGACACATGTTTGAAAGTTTTCTCTGCTTTATAAAAGAAAGGCTGTATTTGTGAGTATCCACGAAAAAAAAACTGTTATGCTGCGTCCCCATTTGCATACTCATACTACGCCCTTAAAGTATGTACTTTTTTGTGAAGGAAAAATATATACTTTTGAGTGTGTAACAGAGGTGTATGCTTAGTTATGAGCCCTGTCAATCATCCACATTTCTGTCGTATTTCATTTCCTATCTTATTGGTGAAGCAGCAGCAAGTTAATCTGCCATTTACGAGTCATTCATGCAGAGAAATCTTCTCAGGTCTTTGGATATAGGTGCATAAAAATTTGCATAAAAATGGGAGTTTCTGTTTGGGCACGCACTGATTTTCAGAGAGGCAAAACAAACAGAGACGCAGGGGAGAAAGATGGTGACTGCGTTTACATGGACAGCGGTAACATAGTATACTGCGTTTACATGGATAGTGCGGCTACTATCAGCTATGAAGCTTTTTAAAAGTGATTTATATTGGATAATTAAGGAAAATAAAGTCTTTTTGTATTTTTGGTATTCACGTCTCATGCCTTTTCTTCACACAAAGAACCTGTGTTAATTTCCCTGTGATCAGGGTGGCGTAGTCAGCTTTAATTTAGTATTTTTCTCCCAACTTACCGCTCAGCTACATTTTGGCTCCGCTACATTCTGGCTCCGCTCCGCTACATTCTCCGCTACATTCTAGTATCCCTGCTTCCATTCATGGCCAAGATTCTGGAGAAAGTAATGTTCCATCAAGTCCTGGACTTTCTTACTCAAAACAATCTCATGGACAACAAGCAATCCGGCTTTAAGAAAGGCCACTCAACTGAGACTGCCCTGCTCTCGGTCGTGGAGGATCTCAGACTGGCTAAAGCAGACTCTAAATCATCAGTCCTCATTTTGCTGGACTTGTCAGCTGCTTTTGACACTGTCAACCACCAGATCCTGCTATCTATGCTCGAGTCACTGGGCGTTGCGGGCACTGTTATACAATGGTTCAGATCTTACCTCTCTGACAGGTCATTCAGGGTGTCTTGGAGGGGAGAGGTGTCCAACCTACAGCATCTAAACACTGGGGCTCTGTTCTTGGGCCACTTCTCTTCTCCATCTACACGTCATCTCTAGGACCAGTCATCCAGAGACATGGATTCTCCTACCACTGCTATGCTGATGATACCCAGCTATACCTCTCTTTTCATCCTGATGATCCCTCGGTTCCAGCTCGCATCTCAGCCTGCCTGTTGGATATTTCACACTGGATGAAAGATCATCATCTTCAGCTGAACCTCGCAAAAACGGAAATGCTTGTAGTTTCTGCCAACTCGACTCTACACCATAACTTTTCAATCCAGATGGATGGGGCAACCATTACTGCATCCAAAATGGTGAAAAGCCTTGGAGTAACGATTGATGACCAACTAAACTTCTCTGACCACATTTCTAGAACTGCTCGATCGTGCAGATTCGCACTCTATAACATCAGAAAGATCCGACCCTTCCTATCTGAACATGCAGCTCAACTCCTTGTTCAAGCTCTTGTTCTCTCCAAACTGGATTACTGCAACTCTCTACTAGCTGGGCTTCCAGCTAACTCTATCAAGCCTCTTCAACTGCTCCAGAACGCAGCAGCACGAGTTGTCTTCAATGAACCTACACGGGCATATGTCACTCCGCTGCTAGTCCGTTTGCACTGGCTGCCAGTTGCTGCTCGCATCAAATTCAAAGCTCTGATGTTTGCCTACAAAGTGACTTCTGGCCTAGCTCCTTCTGATCTGCTCTCACTTCTGCAGATCTATGTGCCCTCCAGAAACTTGCGTTCTGTGAATGAACGTCGCCTCGTGGTTCCATCCCAAAGAGGGCAGAAATCACTTTTGCGAACGCTCACGCTCAATCTGCCCAGTTGGTGGAATGAACTCCCTAACTGCATCAGAACAGCAGAGTTACTCGCTATTTTCAAGAAACGACTAAAAACTCAACTATTTAGTCTCCACTTCACTTCCTAATCTGCAATTGCCTCTCTGGATATCACACCAACTGTACCCAAAAAAAAAAAAAAAAATTGCTAATACTTTCCTTCTTAGACTTTAAAGACCTGAAACTTGCCTATAGCACTTATTCATTGTTGCTCTTATAGTTGTGTAAATTGCTTCCTCGTCCTCATTTGTAAGTCGCTTTGGATAAAAGCGTCTGCTAAATGATTAAATGTAAATGTAAATGTAATTGAATTATTTGGCAAATTATGAAATGGTGGACTTTAACTGTAGTTTCGCACTTTCATTCAGGAACATTTAATGCATGCCCCCCATGACAAACAAGATATTGCATACGAGGAACTGCTGGAAGAGTGTAGTTTTAATGCAATGTTCGGTACCGCATGGCAAATGGGAGCAAAAACCCTCTGCATTTTTCGGTAACTTAGATGCACTCGGTAGGTAGAGTCAGATAGCCTTGTGTGTATAGACTATTCTGTCACATAATGCGGTGAAAATCCTACTTGACGGTAATAGTTTGACAGCAGATCTTACAGTATAATAATGTAGTGCATAATATTGTAGTGATATTAACGTACTGTAAACTTTAGTAACTTAGAAAAATCATTTTGACTAGGGTCTGTCTTTAAACACTGAAAGACTACTGCTGACGATACTAACTAACTTTGCCATCTGAATAAACATACAAAGGCCACTGATCGCTTACCAAATCTGTAAAGACAGGACAATCAACACCAACAGGAGCCACAACTTTTTTAAAAGACAAGCAGCATTTCACCATTTACAGATGTGAAAAGCTCTCGGGTAAAAAATGTTCCTTACAAACGTATATCTGCCACGTGTGGCGTGCACTGTAATCCACACGTGAGTCCAGCTGTGCTCTCATAGCAGGAAATGAAAACAAAACCTTCATTGAAGCACATTTATAAACGCAACACTGATGACCCATGTCTCCAAGCAATTCTTCCACTTGTTTTGGCAACACAATGTGGCGTCTCTCTGCCGTCTGGACACTGTAACAGGTAACAACAGTCTTCGAAGCTATCATGCATTTAAATAAAGTTGCACCGCATTCACAATAGAGCGCGCTGATTGGATTAAACCAAGTCTTTCTCATGAGTTGATGCTGCACACTGATAGATGTCACAAAGTACTCCCAGGTACAGACATCCAGTCTCCACACTGGAAAACCACAGAAAATTGGTTGTTTTTGCATTATTTCAAAGAAAATTAGTTTCGAACCGGGAGAATGAATTTGCTTTGAAATAACGCAAAAATAACCAATTTTCACTTTTTTGTGAAATATATATGTCCTAATAGTGTTTTTAGCAGCGTGGGACACATATATAAATGTCAACAGCTCAAAAAATTTGTTTTGGTGTTTTGTGACTCTTTAAACCAATTGGTAGATGACCGAGGGTCTGCTAAAGTGTTTCCAAAAAAGAGTGCCATATGCATTAGACCTTTAGCCAAATATGCTTGGCGTAACATCTGAGGTTAAGACTTAACTCTAGGCGTCTAAAAATGAGCCTATTTCCAAAAAATGGAGCGTTCCATTAAAAAAACAAAACAAAAAACAAATCTTTACTCAGTACCCCTCTATGCGTGAGGCAAAAAAAAAAAAAAAAAAAAACTAATTATACATCATTAGGTGGATAAGAAAGCTAATTTGATGTTGTTAATTTGCACCTAGCTGTTTTCACTCCCCCACAGAAAAATCGTAGGTGGTTTCTGTAATTGCAAGCCAGCCTCAACAAAGTATTTTTAGGACCAAGCTCCATGGTTTATGTAACCGAAGCGTCCGTAAAGGCTAAGATGGTGGGAAAGCAATCGATCGACCCCTGATCCGCCAACCGTGTCAGTAGTCTCTTCAGAGTTTCCAAGGGGCAGACATTTGCCCCACGCTAACGCCTTTTTGACACTGACCTCCATTTGACCTTTCATATCGATCTCTCTCTCTCTCTTAATGAACAATGAGCGGCTGCTGTGTGTACCGGCTCCAGTGTTTGTCTGTGCGGTGTGAATGCCATCGATCGCGCGCTCTGAGTATGTTTGGGTTGGCTAGGATTACTTACTCCAGTGCTACTCATCAAAGTCGCCTCCATCTACTCTTGTTGTTGTCCTCCTCATCCAGTGTAAAGACTTCTAAAGCAGACACCAACACGGATACACTAGGTGGTACTTCATTCATGAATATTTGACACCATATTAGCGAATTAGCTAGGGTGCGCACACAGCTACGACTTGGTTTGTACAACAGTTCATAACAGATGAGCAGTGTCTCGCCTCCTGCTTCTGCTTTCAGTGTATCTGTTGTTCTTCCAGATCGAGTGTTCTGTACTTGGCTTGATGTTTCACCTTCTGCTGTTTCCTGTTAACTGAAATCATGCATTTCTTCTCTTTCGCTGTATCTCCCCCCTCATCTATTCCTCAAACGTTAATCTGCTTCTAGCAGGGACGTGCCGAGTTTTCCTGGGAAGGAATCAATGTAAGTCTGGTGTTGACCTTTTGACCTTCTCTCTCATGTTTTCTTTCTCTTCTGTCATCATTTGTTGTAATTGTAGGTCACACTTTATTTTGATGTTCGGTTTGTTGAATTTAGGTTACATTGCATCTACATGCCAACTAATTCTCATTAGATTATAAGTAGACTGCTAGGTTGGGGTTAGGGTTAGTGTAAGTTGACATGTACTTGCAAAGTTTCTTAGTCAGTAAAATGTCTGTTGAAGGAGCAGTAACAACATATTAAGCAGACAGTCTCTCAAATGGACTATCAAAATAAAGTGTTATCTTATTATATAGCTTCTATATTCTTCTTTTGATTTCAGTGTTTGTAAGCCTTTCCTTTCTGACAGTCCTTTCTGCCCTGATTGGTGAGATTGCACAGCCTGTAGTGATTAGTCAATAGGTGCGTTCGACATGAGGCACGGCTGCAGCCGGTGATCAATGGGATTAGCCGAGCGTAGGCAAGGACGGAGTTAAAAAATGGAGCCTTCAAGCCGGACAACTGGACACTTTGGGGCTCAAAGTTGCGGCAGTCATGATGACCAAATACATAGCGTCATCATCATTTATATATTTATAACAACAAAAGACTTACATTACAAATAAAACAGAATACAGTCTCTACAAACTACAGATCATTTTAAACAATAAGGGAATTATGAATAATTCTGAATTATAAATAAGGGGAAACGAGAGGGTAAAACACAAATAAATAGGCCTGTTAAATACAAGGCAATTAGCACAAATTCTAGGAGTTTAAACATCCCTCTTTAGGCTAATACTTCTTGATTGAATATGCTAAAATTGGCTTTACATTGATTTACATTTATAGATGTAAAACTTTCCAATATATATTTGGGTTAAAAAACCCAAAACAAGGTATTTTGATTAAATCCTAAACAATGATTAAGATTATTATGGATAATGACAGAATTTTCAAAAAGAGCACTTTAATCCAAAAGGATTGAACAAAAGGACATTCCTAAAATAAGTGAGCTACACTTTAAGCAGAAGTTTCCCAGAAAGAGCAGGTACATCAATGTCACTTTTAAAACTTGTGCATAAACGGCCTGACAGGAAAGAATATATATTTTATAATCATATACATCATTTTAAAATCATTTAATAAAATAGTTCTTTAACTTAATTTGTTAAGAAATTTAGGAAGGCAGGATCAATGATGATAATTATTTTATTTCATGTCTGTAAGACTTATTTAAGTTAATATTTAGGTTATTTACTAAAATATATTATTTAAATCGTTTATAGAGCTGAATGCATAAAATAGTCTGAATAAAAATGGTCGAAAATAAACCTGCGCAAACAATCTAGCCTTTATAACCAGATTATTTAACAAATATGATACTGCAGTAAAATATTTGTAGTCTTTTATTAAGCATGATGTATACAAGATAGAGAGGGTATGAAAAGTGAATTGTTTGTTTTGAAACTTTTGAATTGGAAGTTGTCCAATAATAAACCTAAAACACACGTGCTTGTTTTCATGTGGTGAACTAGGCCAGTCGTGTAATATCAGTGTTGTCATCGCAGTTCTAGCATACGCTCTTTAGATGCTGCACTGGCTGAATCTGTCGTCTGATCTCGCAGCGTCAATCCGAACAACATTTCTTACCAGCATGCACCGCTTTAAGACAGATTTTGATCGATCTGCGCAGCTCTGCATGAAGTCGAATGCACCTATCGAAATGCTCATTATAGGTTGTTTTCACATGACGTCATTGATGACGTGTGGAATTCAGATGAAGGGCAGGAAGTGATTCTTCTACATAGGAATCTCTATCAGAACATCAAAATGTTTCTATGTTGTTTAGAATTGTTTAAATTGGCCAAAATAAGAAATGCCGAACAGCTTTTCTAGACTTCCAAAAGTTTTACCTCATAAAGGGAGGAAAGTTCTAGAAACTGGCAAAAAAAACAGAAGAAAAGGCGCCATGTAATAAAAATTTATTCAATATATCCATGTGTACAAACTTCTTTCAAAGGCAACAATTCATTTCAAAGCACCAATAAAGGTTATATACAGGCCTATATATGTGTATAAATATGTTAACCTGTTATAAAAAAATCAGATACAAACACCACCACACTTATACAAAATCCAGGAGGATATAAATAACGTACCCTGCCATGTAATAGCTGCATTGAAATCTTCGTCTTGTTCTGCAATAATCCTAGTCTTTACTGGCTGAATAATGTCGTTTCGGCTGAATAATGGATTTCACACGTCACTAGAACCATGTGATTGAAAACAACCTATAGAATCTCAACTGCAGAGGTTTCCTCAATGGGCTATATGCACAGCTAGTGTTTTTCAGCTAACCATAAACTTCTGGTGAAAGGTTAATGTGACTCTTTTGAATTTCTTAAGGTTGTTTTTACAGCATCGATATGGTAATTTAATTAAATACAATCAGTTAAGTAGACTTAAGCATTCGTTTAGATGTTTAAGCATAAAATGAGACGAAAGACTATGTAAGCACTAGCAGCGTCAGGCTAGCGCAGACGCTCCATATATTGGGGTAAAATATTGGGGTAAAATAAATTTTCATATTTTAAAGACATGGTGGGGGGAAATAGATTTTAATGCAGTGCTTCTTGTCTGATACGAGACCCACTTCATATCATATATATATATATATATATATATATATATATATATATATATATCAGGCTTTGAAGATTTCAGATTTTTAAAGAAATCGTATATTAAGTGTGGCCATTTTATAATGGCAAGAGTTCACCGGAAGTACTTGGGCTGGCTGACTGAAAATTTAAAGGGCACTTATGATGAAAATCATCTTTTGGAAGCTGTTTGGACAGAATTGAGTGTAGGTCTAGTGTGCCCACAGTCATATTGGAGCAATATAAAGACATCAAGTCCCTTTTTTAAATTTCCTGATGTTTAAAAAGGATCCAAATCCCTCCCAATTTGAGGTTGATCGCAACGTGACATAGGAGTGTGATTTCCCCGCCCACCAAAATGATTGACAGCTGCGTATGAACATGTCTACATAGTATTGCGTATAATTATATTAACAAGACAGGACGTGCGCAAAGCAACCGAGATTAAAAGATCTGTCCAGCTCTCTGTGATCATCAATCATCATCACATGTGATCAAGAATGAGTTTGACAAGTTTAAACCTTTTTAAAACAGTGCATGTTTGTAATAAAGATGGTAAAATTGCTGTAATTCATCACAACAGCTGCATGTCAGTACAATTATAAAAGAAGACCCTTCAATCCCAAGTTGTGGACGTTAGATTAAGTTTATTTTGTACATTAACAAAACGCATATCCATACAGCGGTAGATCTTAATGTGCATCCTGTCACCTTGGCCATGCAAAAATGTGCCTGCTAAGTGTTTACGTGTCCGCGGTGTGTGTGTATATATGTGTGTGTGCGTAAACTTTGTAACGTCATTGCGTGTGACTCATTGCTGCAGAAAGGCTTGAATTAACTCCACAACTAATACATCAAATAAGCATTGGGAAAGTTCTTACTGTAGTATTTCTCACAAACGTTACGTGAGATCTGCTTTCTTCATGTCTGTCACTGTGCTGTTTATCTGATGCAGCTGAGGTGGAGATTGAGGCACACTCTGACAGGCACGTGGGAACGGTGGGTGGGGAGAACTAGCATTAAAGGCACAGACCACAAAAAAAGTTACATAGTGTTCAGAGCAGAAAATGCAATATCCTGAAAGGTATAATAAATAATCTGATGGGAGTTTTGAGCTGAAATTTTACACATTCTGGAGACACAAATGACTTATCTTAAATCTGGAAAAAAGGATTTAAGTTGGTGCCCTTTAAAGTGCATATACCCCATTCTCAGAGACTGTACAAACTGTAGGCTAATTCATGCTGCATCCACAGATGTGGACAGACGGCAACGGATGCCTCGTCTGGTTTTGTCAGATCAGTCAGTCTCTGTTGGCATCTGTCACAGCTTGTTTTTGGATAATTAAACATGCTGAACTGATGCCTGTTGGGTTGTACAATGTTAAATAAGTGATGAGCTGTAATCTGGTGATTGTCTGCATCCGTCGTGTAGTGGAAATTGTCTATAATTTAAATAGATTTTACCATAGAAATCTGCCATGATTAGAAGTAATAGTCTAATAACAAAAAAAGTTTGAAGAACCAGCAGATTAACTTAAACCTCAGTCACATACACAACTACAGCTGGACGTTTGTCAGTGGGGAGTTTTTACATTACATTTAATGGCAGCTTATATGATGTATTAATTTAAATAGTGATTATTAAGGGTTGTAATTTAGTAAAGGCTAAATTAACAAAAATAACTTAGAAATTAAAGATTAGGGGGCAAATGCAGGTATGCCCCATGCCTAACTGTCACTTATAAAGACAATTAATGAAAAGTCAGGTCTGATAATAACTTTTAGTTTTTCAGGTCTGACAATAAGTATCCAGCAGACACACAACAAAATAAGATGCTAATTTATAATTTGGTTAGATTTAGGTCGTCAGCGTCTAAAAACAATGTAATGGCCTGTTTCCACTGAGAGATACAATACGTACGGTACGGGTCATTTTTTTTAAAGTTTGTGTTTCCACTGCCAACAGGGTACCCTTTTGGTGTGCATAGTGTACGATAGAAAATTTCAGACGACATAAGTTTTACTAAAGGAAATGTCACGGTAAAGCCGTAAGGGTTGTTCACATATCATATGAGAAGCACTTCTCTCAAAACAGAGGCTTTATACACACAAATACTTGAGTATAAAAGTTCATTACTAACTTTCTATGAACATGATCTGATTATAACTGCAGAGCAATGATGCGAAATTGCCTACTGTAACGTCTGCGATTGCATAAAATAAATAAATGCAACATATATAAAACACATAGAGACACATACAGTCTGGTTCTCAAGGTTTTTTTTTCTTCACTCCCATCAGGTGAAGTTTTTTTTCCCTCTCTGCTGTCGCCACTGCC